ATAAAGTGTGTTTCTTAATTACTATCTCACATGATTAAGTACAAGGTGTGTTGACCATGTTAAGAAAGCAACGCGCATTTGTTTCCTTTACAAAACCTGTACATTCAGTTTGATAATATTCCTTTGTTCTTATGTCAAAACATGAACTGTCTTTTGACCATTACAGCATTTACACTGATAGTTTGTTATAGCATAAATAAATGAATGTAATATGATACAAAAGTACTTCCCAAAAGAGCACTGCAGTGGAAAAGGATCTGATGCAAACAAAGTTTGTAAAAATGAACACACATGTACATACACTCTGTAATGAATAACACATGACACACACACACACACACACACCAAATTTTAAGTTGATGTACACAATCCTTAACTGATACTAACTACTTGCAAAAATTGTATATGCCTGTTTGTGGAGATGAGGCTAATTTAAATAATTGTTTTTATTGATTTTCTTGCTCTGCTTCTACAGTGTAGTCATTCTGTGGAGGTTCAAGTGATGGCAAGTCCAAAGGTGATTCATATATAGCATCTTGTGGATTTTGAACTACTGGGGGCCTGTTATGTTTGTATTATTAATCTATATCATTTTTATTTCAATTTACTTACTCTAGGACATCATAGTCATGTTCTACATTATTCTTTAATTTGATGGATCTGAAATACACAATATAGGAAAAATTAAATTGATTTGCATTTTTCTTTCTTCTCTCTCCTCTCTTTCCACCTCACTCTTTTCTTCTCTTCTCTCTATCTCTTACTTGACACTATAAACTATCTTCTTCTTACAGCACATTCCAATTACCACACATACTAATATCATGTTGAAAAATAAAGAGATACCCAGTATTGGTAGGGATATGTTTAAAGTTGATATGTTCATGCATTCATCATCACTTGATGCAAAGGTAGGAGATGAAGTACCTAAATTTAGAAAATAAATGTTATTTTACAGTGCTTTCTATTCATTATTATTCTCTACAAATCCATAAAGTACATGTCTTTGTTGTTGTTTAATTGTGTACATACATATTAAAACCAAAACTACATGCAGTAAGGTAAACATCATTATTAACAGTAAACCTTTACTTATCACTTCTGTGTAAGAATAGGAAGACAGGTCCACTGTTGGTAGTTCTAAAACTATAATATTTTAGCATTTGACAGCTGAAGCATTATTTTACCTGTTGGTGCAGTTCTAGGTCCTTCATAATAAGTCCCATTTATTTCTATAGTCACTGACATCTCGAGTGAATAGCTAAGGCATGAGCACAAACCTGATATGATACTTTGATTTGTTTCATTGCTAACATTGATTGAATCATCATCACACCCACTGTTGTAATAGACAGTGTAGTAACTGGCCCCTGGAATAGGTAACCAATTCACTTGTACAGTAGTTGAGTTGAGATGCATGACAGTGAAATTACTAATTTTTGCTATGAAGGAAATGATGTTAGATCTATAGTTGTGAATATACAATTGAACATTACCTATATCTATGTCATTAGTTGATACAATTTTATGAGTCCATTCTCCTGGTCCAATACTAGTATATGCTCTCACTCCAATAGTATAACTAGTATTAGGTATCAATCCTACTATACTGTAATAAGTGTTAGTAGTGTTAGTTATAGTGTATGGACCAGTACTGGTAGACTCTCTATATCTTATCTCATATACTGTAATGATACCATTAGGTATTGTAGGAGGATTCCATGAGATACTGATCTCAATTGGTGCTATTGAATGTATTAGATCAGATATCAGACCAGGAACTGTGTTAAGATCATGTTAAACTGATCAATATCTCAATGACTTACTTGACTCTCCAAAGGTTAATTGTATTTCTCGTCTAGCTGGTCCAGTCATATTATAATTATAAGGTATTATATTCACAGTATAGTTGGTATATGGTGTTAATCCTGTGAGATTATACATTCTGTTGTCTCCTCCAGTGACATTAACAGTATAACTAGTGTTTGAAAAGATGTTAGTGTATGTGAGGTAGTATCCAGTGATTGGTCCATTCCTTCCATTGCAAGGTACTTCATCCCATGAGACAGTCATTGACACTGACTCTACTGATGAGAATATGATATCATCCACTGGTGCAGTAGGGGCTATAAAAAAATTTAATGACACTGACCATTAGTAATTCTTTTACCAGAAGGCCATGTAATAGCTGAATAATTAGTCAAATAAACTATCTCAACTCCATATACTCCAATAAGATCAAAGCCACATTGACTGTAAGGAGGTATACCAGTTGAAGTATGTGGTGATGAAACTGATGTCTCATTATAAATATCTAATGACTCACATGCTCTCCTACATCTCCTGTGGATATAATAACTAATTGGTAGTACAGCAGTTGGTGGACTCCATGTTAATGTAATGGAAGTGCTTGTAATTAATGTAGCCATTAAATCATTAACCACCGGAACGCCTAGTTAAAACATAGTCATGGAATTAGAAATTATAATAGCTTACTAATTGTTAACATAACTGAAGCATTACTACTAGGTAGAGAAGCTGATTCATAAGATACTACATAGAAAGTGTATGTAATCCCTCGAAGCAATCCTGATGTTATATTGATTGTTGTTGAAACAGTAGTGCCTACACTAACAGGAGTATTACTAAACAATTGATAGTAGACCTCATAACCAGTAGCTCCTGATACAGTAGACCAGGAGAGTCTTACATGAGATAAACCAGTACTTAATCTTGTAGCAGTTAAACCAGTTGGAGTATCAGATACTGAAAGTAAATTAATAATAATTATTGATAATAATCACCAACCTGATACATTCAATGATGAAGTACTATTGACTGCAGTAACACCACTAATAGTACCAGCAGTTACTCTGTCATTAGATACAGTACACTGATAGTTACCAGCTTCACTTAAATTTGGTACCGTCACTCTTGTAACAAATCCTGGTTCATTCACTATCACACGAGACAGTTCAGTAGATATTCCATTCCCATTCACTGAACAATTGACAGTAGTAGGAGGACCATCAGAGACATTGAAACTGAGACTGAAGACTGGAGGAGTAGCTAATCTACTAGTGGAAAGGAGAGAGAACTGCATAGTAGGATCAGCATCAGGACCATCTGTAAAAGAAGTACATTAATTATAGTCTATATTCATCACATACTATTGTTATTGTATCCAGTATCAGTATATGCTCCAACCACTAGTGTTTGATCCACTCCATTCTCATCAGGAATGATACACTTATATAAACCTTCATATCCTGATAGTCCAGCTCTTCTAGCTAGTGCAATCTGACCACTGAATCTCTTACTGAACAATGGTCTAGGAGCTGATGAGACATCAAAGGCTCCATCAAATAAAGGTACTTCAGTTCCATTAGGATAATACCACACTCCAATATTAGTACCATTGTTGGCACTCTGACACCACAAAGCATCATTGGTATTGCCAGGGTCATTATTCTGATCAACATCATAAAACTGGCTACCATGTATCATAGAGTAATCAGGTATTATTCTGTCCACATAAAGTAGATACAATTGAGTGCCTACATCCCACAAGTAACAAAACTCGTATTAAAAATGATAGTTCTTACCATTACTAGGCAGGTTAATAGGTTGTTGTCCTTCAACTCTAAACAGGAGGAAGCCAGCAAGAAGAAACAATGTCATCAACATCTTCACAGAATAGACTGACACAAGAAGATATGAACATGCAAATATAAGCTTGGTAAGTAACAACTCACAAGAGGAAACATATAATACGTGTAGCTGTCATAACTCCACAATTATCCATTTCCTTTACAAGACCTGTACATTCAGTTTGATAGCCTATGCTACATAACTTTTACTAATTCTCCTAAAGGATACTACTGCTTGGATCTAGGGCAGCTCTACAGGGCAATGCACTGATGCAAGCAAAGGTTTAATTGTACATGAAATATAGCTGTAGATAATAATAGTACACACAACTTTATATTAGCTACTTGCAATCTAATGATGTGCATATACCAACAAACACAGCTAGTGCATGGAGTTTTATTTATATGATTTATCATTGTTGATTTCTTGTTCTGCCATTACTCTATAGTGGGTGGGTGGAGGTTGAATTCTCGGTTGAAGTTCAAATGATGACAATTCCAAGGGAGAATCGTATACGACTTCTTGTGGATTTTGAATTACTGGGGGCCTGTTATGATAGTATTATTATCCAGTAATTTTTATCATGTTTATTCTTTATACACTTACTCAATAACAGCATAGTTGTGTACTGGATCCTTCTTTAATTTGATGGGCCTTATAGTACCAGTAGCACTGAAAAAGTGAAAATATACCAAAAATTAAGCTGATTTGTATTCTTTTCTTCTCTATGTTTCTTTCTCTCTTATTCCCCCTCACTCTTCTCTCTATCTCTTACTTGACATTATAAGTAATCTTCTTCTTCTTACAGCACATTCCAATCATCACACATACAAATATCATGTTAATAAATAAAGAGATACCCAGTAGTGGTGGACATACATACAAAGTTGATATGTTTATGAATTCATCACTGAAAACACCACTTGGTGTTGAAGTAGGAGATGTCATAGCTAAAGTAAGAAATATTAAATATCACTCTACAGTGCCTGCTATTTGTATAACAACAAAAATGATTTGCTTTTAGTGGCTTTTATTCTGATTTGCTTCATGCAAAATAGATGTGTTTATGATATGCTTTTTTTATATAGAATCCAATAGGAATTGAAAGTGCAAATGTTGTTGCCAATTTGTACATTCAACAACCACACATTAAAACTGAAAGCACAGTAATGTAAATGTTACCATTATTAACACATTTGTAATTATTACTTATTGTTTTACTGTAAGTTGAAGTGTAAGTTGAAGGATTCACTGTTGGTACATCTTCTGTACAAATAACTAAAATATTTGATTAGTTAAATATTGTATATTTTAACATTACTTTACCTCTTGGTTCAGTTCTAGGTCCTTCATAATAAATTCCATTTATTTCTATAGCCCCTGACATCTCAAATGAATAGCTAAGGCATGAGTATAGTCCTAATATAACACTTTGATTTGTTTCATTGCTAACGTTCATTGAATTAACATCCCACCCACTGCTGTAATAGATAGTGTAGTAACTGGCCCCTGGAATGGGTAGCCAATTTATCTGTACAGAAGATAGGTTGAGATGCACAAGAGTAGAATTGCTAATACTTGCTATGAAAATAGTGTATTATAATGCTGTAAATTTTAACAAAAAATTACCTATTTCATCAGTTGAGAAGATTTCTGCAGCCCATTCTCCTGGTCCAATACTAGTATATGCTCTCACTCCAATAGTATAACTAGTATTAGGTATCAATCCTACTATACTGTAATAAGTGTTAGTAGTGTTAGTTATATTGTATGGGCCAGTACTGGTAGACTCTCTATATCTTATCTTATATACTGTAATGATACCATTAGGTATTGTAGGAGGTTTCCATGAGATACTGATCTCAGTTAGTGTAGCATTTGTTTGTATCAAATCAGATATCAGACCAGGAACTGTGTTAAGATCATGTTAAACTGATCAATATTTCATTGACTTACTTGATTCAGCAGTTAATTGTATTTCTTGTCTAGCTGGTCCATTCATAATATAATTATAAGGTATTATACTCACAGTATAGTTAGTATATGGTATTAATCCTGTGAGATTATACGTTCTGTTGTCTCCTCCAGTGATATTAACAGTATAACTAGTGTTTGAAGTGATGTTAGTGTATGTGAGGTGGTATCCAGTGATTGGTCCATTCCTTCCGTTGCAAGGTACTTCATCCCATGAGACAGTCATTGACACTGACTCTACTGATGAGAATATAATATCACCCACTGGTGCAGTAGGGGCTATTGAGAAGGGACTAATCATTTCAATAATTCTTCACTGACTTACCAGTTGAGAGTGTAGTAACAAGATAATTAGTATCCAAATAAGCTATCTCAGCAAGATAATTAGTATCCAAATAAGTTATCTCAGCTCCATATACTCCAATAAGATCAAAGCCACATTGACTGTAAGGAGGTATACCAGTTGAAGTATGTGGTGATGAAACTGATGTTTCATTAGTACTAGTGAATGATGATTCACATACACTCCTACAATCCCTAACAATGATATAACTAATTGGTACTACAGCAGTTGGTGGACTCCATGTTAATGTAATAGTTGAATTAGTAATTAATGTAGCCATAAAATCACTAACCACTGGATCACCTAACAATAATATATACATTATTTAATTTCATTAAGTATGCTTACTTACTAAATGTTTCCATAACTGAAGCATTACCACTAGGTAGAGAAGCTGATCCATAAGATACTACATAGAAAGTGTATGTAAGCCCTCGAAACAATCCTGATGTTATATTGATTGTTGTATAATTAGTGTTGGAAACATTAACAGGAGTATTACTAGACAGTTGATAGTAGACCTCATAACCAGTAGCTCCTGATACAGTAGACCAGGAGAGTCTTACATGAGCTAAACCAGTACTTAATCTTGTAGCATTTAAACCAGTTGGAGTATCAGATACTGAAAATA